ACTTCGTCACGCCTAATAATCGATTAAGAACCTCCTCCTTGGGCTGGAGAGATGGCTCAGTGGTTAAGAGCACTGCCTGCTCTTCCAAAGGTCCTGAGTTCAATTCCCAGCAACCACATGGTGGCTCACAACCATCTATAATGGAGTCTGGTGCCCTCTTCTGGCCTGCAGGCATACACGCAGACAGAATATTATATACATAATAAATAAATAAATATAAAAAAAAAAGTCAGGCTGAACCAAGTTTTATTCTCACCTCTTTGCGGTCCATTTCCCTGCCTGCCATGACACTTTCAGGAACCCCCTGCAGTCGAGTGGGGAAGAAGTCAGTGGGTGGATGGATGGATAGTGATAAACTGTTTGGAAGCAAGCATCCCAAGTGAACAGTTACAGAGCTGGGAGTCTAATTGTGGCAGTGCTGATATTAAAACCATCCCCTGCTACAGGACTGAAATTTTTAGGAAGCCAAATGTTGCCAAGTGAAGACTATTTCCTTAGGAACCATGGACCACTCAAACTCAGAGAGGAGATGCTTTGCCGGGGCTGAGGAGCAGCCCAGCAGTGGGAATGCTGAGCCCTGCAACAGGGGCAGAGGAACCTCTGGCCCTTTAACAGAGCCTAGAGCTTTGGGGCAGGGTAGATTCCGATGGATGGCAGTTGAAGAGGGAGGGTCTGGAAACCAAGGGACCCTAGGTCCCAGGGGTTCTAGGAGCTGCCCCCACCCCCAGATTCCCTAACTGGACAGCAGGCTCTACTCATTCCAGGAGGTACAGTCCTTGTCAGAAGAACCTGATGTCCAGGTAGGCAAAGAGTGGGTTGTTTTGATGTGTGAATTCTTTTCCCTGGCATCTGGCAGGTTTGGGGGACTTGTAATAACATCTTAGATACTTCTCCTGTCCTTAGCACCTCCCTCCCAAATGTCTTGCTGTTCCCCAAGTACTGTGTGCCCAAAGCCAGAAGTTCTGCCCTGCCTCAGGTTGGTTGACAGCTCGTGGTCCCCATAACAGCAACGACAGACAAAAGACGCAGCTCCGTGCTGTCACTTCCGGTTGCGTGAGGAGTTTCCCTTTGCTATGCCCAGATCATGGAGTCCCCCCAGAACCAACTAGAAGACTGAGTCCTGTATGTAAAAGCAAAGAGCCTTTATTCTTACACAAGTTTATGAACTCGGGCTTGCCATGTGTTTAATGTATTGGCGTGATTGGAGAGCCCCAAGCTTAGCTGGGGTTAGTTTTTATAATAGCAAAGGTTGTGGTCTCAACCTTTGATTTCTAAATCTTACTTCTAAGATTTAGAACACCTGATTGGCTGACATTTATCTAGGGGTGTCCCGGTGAAAAGCAATGGGTGTGTGCTGGCATATCCACAATGCTTGGAATGTTAGGAATTTCCTTTGCACGGTCTGCTCCTGAGTGGCCTCTGGGTGGTCTCAGTTTGTGGTCTCTCTTGGAACCAGGGTAAACTACTGAGACTGGGACCTCTATTGTCATGGCATGTCATGGCTGGGTACACCCTTAATCTTTTAGGGGATTCTAGTTAGGTAAAACTAGATCCTTGGCTTCAATGTGAAAAATAATTTTTGAATTAGTCAATATGAAGCAGAGTGAGGGTTTATTGAAGATACTTTAAAATATTTCAGCAGAAGGGTTAAGAGAAAGACAGGATCTCAGAAAGAACGACGACACCCAAGAGCCTGCATGGGCTTCCACTAAAGTCAGGTTTTATGGCAGGCGGTGGTGGCGCACACCTTTAATCCCAGCACTGGGGAGGCAGAGGCAGGTGGGTCTCTGTGAGTTCAAGGCCAGCCTGGTCTACAAGAGCTAGTTCCAAGACAGGCTCCGAAGCCACAGAGAAACCCTGTCTCAAAAAACAAACAAACAAACAAACAAACAAGAGCTACTTCCAGGACAATCTGAGAGTCGTACAGAGAAACCCTGTCTCGAAAAACAGAATTAAAAAAAAGTCTTTTTTTTTTTTTGCCTTTGCAATGCTTATATACAGGATTTTGGTGAGGGTCTAGTAGATTATTTTCCAAGAGTGGCTAAGAAAACTAAATGAAACTTTAGAGTGGTTCCTGGAGGGAACCTAACAGGATTACAGTTGATAAAGTTTAAAACAAACAAGCAAAAAGCTCCAGTTCAGGAGCCAAGAAATATCTTAGAGGTTAAGAGCAAACACCGCTTTTGCAGAGGACCCAAGGCCATCCATGTTAGTAGGCTCCTAACTGTATGTAACTCCAGCTTCAGGGGATCCAGTGCTTCTGGCCTCAGCCCTCGGCAGGCACCAGCACAGTTGCTTAGCACCCACTTGACTTCAGAGTCCTTATCCCAGGAAAACCCACACACACAGTTGGGTCACTTGGACTGGTCCTCCTCATGACATCACCATTCCTAAGGTATCTAAGGTCCATCTATCTGCTTGCCTGCCTACTGGCAGGGACACTTCACCCACCACCCAGGTACCTGCTCAAGAGTTCTCAGCAAACAACCATGGGAAATCGGCTTGCACTGCCTCCCAGGTTCAATCCCTTAGACTGGCATACAGAAGGCTGAAGTCCCTGGGATAGAGCCCTGCTCTGCCTCCAGGTGGTGCTGGGAGCTCAGCGACTGCACGGGACGGGTCTCAAGACAGTCTGGCCCCACCCCAGGCAGGGCTGGTCGTGGAGCAGGAATCCCAGGAATGTGGCCCTGCAACTAAAGTCAGGCGGCGCACAGCTACGGCTTGATAGCTCCTCCCACCTTGGTTCAGGTTAAACTCCCTAGACTAGAAAGGGCCTGACAAAGAAAGACTGTTGTGACCGGTCGTGACCTGGAGCTCAGAGCACTTTTCATCTGTCTGTCTGTCGGTCTGTGTATGTCTGTCTGTCTGTCTGTCTGTCTGTCTATCTATCTATCTATCTATCTATCTATCTATCTATCTTATCTATCTATCAATCATGTGTATGTGTGCCAGAGAATGTTTTCCTCTTTTGTTCTCCACATTATTATTATTTTTATTTTTGTTTGTTTGCTTATTTTTTTGAGACAGGGTTTCTCTGTGTAGCCCTTGCTGTCCTGGAACCCTCTCTGTAGACCAGGCTGGCCTCAAATTCAGAGATTCGCCTGCTGGGATTAAAGGTGTGTGCCAGCCACAACCACCTGGCTATTTTTACTGGTTTTTTTTTTTTTTAAGATTTATTTATTCTGTGTACAGTGTTCTGCCTGCGTGTGTTCCTACAGGCCAGAAGAGGACACCAGATCTCATTATAGACTGTTGTGAGCCACCATGTAGTTGCTGGGAATTGAACTCAGGACCACTGGAAGAGCAGCCGGTGCTCTTAACCTCTGAGCCATCTCTCCAGTCCTATTTTTACTATCAGTGTTATTATTTTTATTATTACTGGGTTTTGTTTTTGTTTGAGACAAGGTCTCACTATGTAACCCTGACTAGCCTAGGACTATATAGGCCAGGCTGGCCTCGAATTAACAGAAATCCTGGGATTAAAGGCCCGGAGCGCCACTCCTGCCTCCACCTTTTTCTTTGAGGCTGGATCTCTTGCTGATCCCCACACTCTCAGAATTGGTTAGGCTGGATAGCCAGCCACCTCCTGGAATATCCCTGTCTGCACCCATGCGCTGGGATCGCACATGCGTGTCAGAATGCCTGACCTTCATATGGGCACTGGGGATCCAAACCCATGCCATCACAGAAGGTACTTTACTCACGGAGCCACCTCCTCAGCATGCAGGGCCCTCTTTTGTGAAATATTAATTTGGCAGCCAGTGTTTTGCCTCTGCTCACCCATTCTGTCAATCATGTCAAGATTGACATGCCCATATGTCCACGGTGATCCTTTCTTAGCATCTGCTGTGTGCCTTTCACCCATAGGGGAACTCTAATAATCTCAGTCAGCCTTCTGATGCCTGCAGATAAGAATGGGGCTCAGCCAGAGCCCAATGACTTGCACATGGTCACGGCAAGGAATGACAGCCTGGGGCCTGACCCTGCTCTTCCTGCCTCCTTAGCCCTCCTATATCTTCTGGAAGCACACCAGCTCTGGTGGGGCAGGGGCAGATGTCATTCTTCTACTACTGTTCCCACAGCACTTTCGCAGGCTGCCCTTCACACAGGCATTTCCTCTCTGGCTTCACTTCCACCTCCTCCTGCTGCCTCTTGGAAACTCTTGGAAACTGCAGGATGCCATTCCTTCTGGGATTTCAGGATGATAGATTCTTGTCTAGAATAAAACCCAGGACTGACCTGCCAATCACGGGCATACTCTGAGAGGGGAGGGATGACCTGTTTAGGGCATGCAGGTGTGTGTTCCCCCACCCTCGTGCAGAAGAGGAAACTCCGAGGACAGAAGCAAGGAATTCAGACCAGGCTGTGAATATAGTGCTTGCCTTCCCGGGTTTCCCACAGGCTTGCTGAGGATCCCCAGGGAGAAGCAAGCAGCCTAAAATAGAAGCGCTGACACAGGAAACACACAGGGCCAGAGGCACAGGCTGTTGCTGGACTCTAGCACTGCGCGCTCTCTCTATATACCAGACTCCCAGCATGGCACTTTTGTGTGATGACCCTTCTTCCCACCCTCTGGGGTTCCCACACACGCAACAGCTCAGGCCGGAACATCTGTGTGTGGGAATGTGAGTAAGGAGAGTTTCCAAGGTTCAGTCTGAGTCTTATTGGTAGCTGAGGCCAGCTTGGCCTTGAGGGCGGCACCAGAAGTGGGGACCGCCACTCTACCACGCCCAGACCAGTGGTGACCAGAGCCTCACTGCCAGTGGAATACAGCTCCCTGCTGTAGGACAAGTGGGCTGGCCCAAAGTCTCAAAAAACCAAAAAAAAAAAAAAAGACTTTTTCTAGGGAGACACTACACAACTACACACATACACACACACACACACACACACACACACATACACTCACTCCAGACAGGGAACCCATGGCAGACCAAAGTATAGATACCATCAAAGTCTAACTAAATGAACCACTGAGTTTTATTGGTGGTGACCTGGGAGCTACTTACAGGACCAAAAATGACTCAAGGACAGCAGCATCACCAAAGTTCATTCCAGGGTGGGAGACAGCTCACAACATCTGGAAACCTGGAGCACACTGCACAGAGTGCAGGCAGCTCAACAAGTTGAAAAGTGCTTTTTTCTAAGTGACTTAACTGGTTTAAACCTCTTCTAGGCATCTGGTTTTCGTATCTTCCAGGAAACTGGTCTGATCTCAGGGTCTTCTTTGCAGTTTGGCCTGTCTGAAAGTTTGTTTATATTGCTTTCTCTGTAAGACAGAGGCCTAATAAATCTGGTCAGTTCCAGGGACTTCCTGAAGTAATTCTGAATTTACCTTCCCATTTAAGGGACTTCCTTGCAGGATGGCATGTTTCAATCTCCAAGGACACTGCTACATGGCACTGGGATCACTGACGTGGCTCAGTTGGCAGAGTGCTCCCCTAGCTTGCACCAAGTCCTGGGCTCCATCCCCAGCACCGTATAAACCAGGCTTGGTGATGCATGCTTGTAATCCCAGCACCTGAAATATAGAAGCAAGAGGTTCAGAAGTTCAAGATCCACTACTACTACAAAGGGAGTTCAAGGCCAGCCTGAGCCACCTGAGACCTCTGCCTTTAGCCTCAGCACTCAGAGGCAGACACAGTCTGATCTCCTAGCAAGCTCTAGGCCAGCCAAGGCTGCATAGTGAGACTTGATATTCCGTTAGGCACCTGAATTTCGTTATGTTGAGTGACACCAGGCAATGAACTTGGTAGTGTAGGTGTCTTTAACAAGCAGCTTTCATTTCCTTCCACCAGCAGCAGCAGTTTTTTTTTTTTTTTTAAGACAAGCACTCCTGCGGTCCAGCTAGTCTCGCACTCCTAGGAGGCTAAGGATGACCTTGAACACCACACCCAGCGCGTGAGGATGGAACCCAGGGCTCTGTGTAGGCCAGACAAACTCTTTACCAACTGAGCCACATCCCCAGCCTCCATTTTAGCCACCCCAAAGTATGTCCTTGGGTCAACCCAGACCACCTCCAGAATGTTTCCAAGCTGAAGGTTTGACCTACTAACCACGAGCTTCCTCTTCTCCTCTCCCTGCATCACACCCCTAGTGCAAACCTTCTATTTCTATGAATTGTCTCTGACTAGGCACTTCATATAAACGGTACACATAGGTTGAGTCCTTTTGTGTTTGGGTTATTTCACGTAGTTTAGTATGCATTCCGGGTTCATGCCACTGCCAGAATTGTAGTGCAATTCTGACCGTTTCCCTCCGCCCCCTTTTTTTAGGCTAATAGTACCATAAATAGAGGTTCTAATTCATTCATAGGTGCATGGCCAGCCCAGCTGTTGCTGCCCTTTGGCGAATCATGATGCCAACATAGGTTCCCAAGTATCTGCTTGAGCTGTAGTTTAGTTCTTTGGGGGGCATCTCACTGTGGTTTTAGCTGTGTTTCTCTTCTAGCTGATGGTCTGCTTATCGCTAGCTACAAATCTATTTTGCTTACGTTTTTAAAATATTAATGCAATTCTAACAAAACAAAGTGTTTAACTGTTCCGGGAATCACACCCAAGGTCTCACATGTGATGGACAAAGACTCTGAGGCTGAGATGTGTCACCAGCCCTTTGAGCTTTCCTTTTTTTTTTATTTGGTTGTTTGGTTCTCAGGAGTGGGTCTTGTTATATTGTCTTTCATCTCCTGGACAACTCCTGAGCTCAAATGATCCTGGTGTCTCAGTCTCACAAGTAATAAAAATGTAAAAATTAGTCCAGTGGTGATGGTGCACACCTTTAATCCCAGTACTCGGGAGACAGAGGCGCGAAGACCTCTGTGAGTTCAAGGCCAACCTGGTCTACAGAGCAGGTTCTAGGACAGGCTCCAAAGCTACAGAGAAACTCTGTCTCCAAAAACAAAAACAAACAGAAAAGTTGCTGAGCATGTGGGCCATGCTTCTACTCCTGGAACTTAGAATGCTGAAACTGGAAAACGGCCAAAAGTTCGAGACCAGCCTGGGCTACATGTCAAGACTTGTCTCAAAAAACAGAGGTGCTGGGCTGGAGAGATGGCTCAGAGGTTAAGAGCATTGCCTGCTCTTCCAAAGGTCCTGAGTTCAATTCCCAGCAACCACATGGTGGCTCACAACCATCTGTAATGGGGTCTGGTGCCCTCTTCTGGCCTTCAGGCATACACACAGACAGAATATTGTATACATAATAAATAAATA